GAAGATAAAATAGAAGAAGAAATTCAAAAAACATGCTTATATATAAAAAATGCAGCTCTCTTGGCAGTTAAACAATGTTTCGGACAAAAAGAATTTTATAAGTACTCGAAACCTTGGTGGACACCTGAGCTTAAAAAAATTAAAGATAATCTCTCCTTTCACTTTAGACAATGGCAAAAATCAGGTTATAATAAGTCAACAGAATGTATATCCTACAAAAGATTTATTTATTCCCGAAAAAACTTTCGTAAAGCTGTAAAAGCGGCACATAACAAAAAAATTCACGAAAAAACTAAAAATATAGAACACTTACGCAATACAAATCCTCAAAGGTTTTGGGGTAATATTCGAAAAATCAAAAAAAATACTAACAATCGACTCTTTACAATTAATAAATTGCAGAACAAAAACGAAATCGTCGAAGAATTTAGTCATCATTTCCAAAAACTACTTAATACACCGCAATATACAAATAACGAGTTCAATCCTCTCCAAATTCCACATTTAAGTAAAGAGCCTAATTCAAAAGTTATCTCGACAGCTGATATTGAAAAATGTATTTTAAAGCTTAAAAATAATAAATCTTACGATTGCTATGAAATCAGTGCTGAACATCTTAAAAACTCTCACAACAAGAATCTTCTTATTTTACTTTCGTCGTTTTATAACAATATGTTAACAAATGGAAAGGTTCCACACGGTTTATCAACCGCCAAAATTATCCCATTAGTCAAGTCTTATAAAACATCACTAGAAAATCCAAATAACTATCGAGGAATCAGCATTATACCAATTTTTACAAAACTTCTCGAATATCTTATCATACACATATGTCCAGATATAACAGAAAGTCATTCCCATCAATTCGGTTTTAAAGAAAACAGCTCTACCCTCCACGCAGAATTTCTTCTGAGTGAAACAATAAAGCACTATAATCATAATAACTCACCGCTATATATATGCAGTCTAGACGCCAACAAAGCTTTTGACAGTTGTAATTGGGAATTACTATTCGAGAAACTCTATTACCAGAAAAAAATCCCATTATCTATAGTTCATACAATATTATCACTATATCAAACAGGAACTTCTAATATATCATATCTTGGATGTACATCAAACAAGTTTAGGCTGTCTCAGGGAGTGCGTCAAGGATCCATACTGTCGCCTCATCTCTACAATATCTACACAGAGAACCTTCTAGAGAAAATTGTTTCAGAATCAAAAGTTGGAACTTCAATAAATGGTATATACACAGGTATCATTGCATATGCTGATGATATAGTTTTACAAAGTTCCACTATATCTGGTCTTCAGAGCCTTATTAACATTGTTCAAAAGTATGGACTATCGAACTTTATTAAACTGAATACAGAAAAAACTGAATTTCTAATATCTGGAATAAGTTCGATTTTAATTAACGTTATTTATATTAACGGTGATCCTATCAAGCCTCAAAACAATCTAAAACATCTTGGTTTCCTTTGGGATAATAAGAACAAAAAAATGACAGCAACACTCCAAAAACAAAATATAACTGAACGTGTAACGCAATTTTTATCTGTTGCAAAAGGTCTTATAAGAAATGGACTTCGCTTTTGCCAGCCTGCTACCATAGTTCATTTATTTAATTCTTTAGCTGTTCCAACGTTGTTATACGGATTAGAACTGTGTGGAAGCAGCAATAAGTTTCTAAATAGCATTGATATAGCTGGACGATCTGTCTTAAAATCCTTCTTTAATATTTCAAAGCAAAGTAGAAATTATCTACATTCTTATTTCAAAGTAGACGCTGTGTCAGACATTCTTTTTCGCAACAAGTTAAATCTATTTATCAGGCTTTTAAACAACCCCATATGTTACTCGATTATACGGACTCAGATGCCTTTAATGAATCAACGATCATTTGTGGGTGAGGTAATGATAATGTGTAAGAAAGCTGATATAAACATGCTCCAATTTATGATCGAGGGTAAGAAAATTATAATTGCACGCCCTCAGGAAGCATTGGAGGCCAATGTTGCGGCGATCTTAAAACAATCGTTCCAACACTGGAATTTAAAGGAACAAAGAGAAGTATTTAGAACGCTGATGGAGGAAAACATTCCAAGAACGATGCAAGAAAATACTTAAATGTGCTTTGTTTTTTTTTAATACTTTTACCTATAGTTTATGTAATTATTGGGTGTTTAAAAGAATAAATATAATATACCAGATGATTTTGTTTTGTAACTTGAGTAGAACTAATAATAATTGAAACTCACACTATAGATCATCTATTAGATGCAAAAAATAAAATAAAAAGGATTACTTTTATACAAAAATTTGAAATATTATTTTAAGAAGCTATATTATCAATTTTCCAAGTTTTAACTGCTTGCAGAAGTTGTAACAGCAACGCTTTTTACATCACCGCGAAATATTTCGCAAGAAACCCAGTAAACTTCCAGCGAACTTTAAGATCACTGGAAGTTTTTCGTTGGATTTCCAGCGAACTTCCAGCGAAGTCTTTTGTTTCCATGGAAATCCAGCGAAAACCCAGTGATCTTAGTAAATTTCCAGTGATCTTTTAATTTCCAGCAAACTTTCGCTGGAAGTTCGCTGGGTTTTTTTGTAAGGGGGAGCAAACTCTAAACATTAATATATTTACACTTATGCCAAATAAGAATACTTTGCAAAAAAAATGCGACGATTCGAGCTTGGGAACAAAAACCTTTAAAATTTTGGCCCCCCTGCTCCAAACGTGAAAGCAACAAGTTTATGAAATGTTTTTTGTACTACTTTCAACTAGACTTATATTCATCAATAAATTTTAAGTTTCATAGTATTATCTCTCAGCATTCAAAAATTATGATAATATAAAATTTGCAACCCCCGTAAATTGAGGGGGGGGGGTTAAACTTTTATGGTCATAATTTTTGAACGCTATAATATTTTACTTTACTTGAAAATCTTATACTTATAAATGGATGAAAATTTTAATAAAGATTATTCAGCTATCTCAATTTGTTTTCAAAATTTGTTTTTTCTTTTAGCAAATTCAATAAACGTTTTGGCGCATACTTTAAAAGACAAATGCATTCAAAGCTGACACACAGATTATCTTAAACACAGTTTTCATTTTTTTATAAGATATTCTTAGTAATTATTTTTTATCGTTATTTAGCATACTTGTCTATTTTCTGACCCGCGACGTCATAAAAATAAGTAAGTTTATAACTTAAGGATACATAGTTTAAACCTGATTAAACGACTTAAACAAAATGAAATTATAATTTCATTTTTTTAAAGTGGTTTAATCAGGTTTAAACTATGTATCCTAAAGGCTGCAACAATAGCTAAAACAAGCTTTTTTCTTGTTACTTATTAGTATGAAATATCTAAATTATTATTTGTTCAAATAAATTTTTCAATTGAAATATACTTATATACTTTTAAATTATGCCCGATTTCGTTATAAATAAATATATTATTCCGTTATAAATAAATATTCAATATTAATTTGAAATGTGAAAAACTTTATTTAATTACCATTAGAGTTGCAAAACAACCCAATTATTTCAATTGTGTTTTATTCGGAAAAAAAAAATTTTTTTCGGAAAAAAAAAAAAGTTCATTTTGGAAAAAAAAAATGTTTTTTTTGTTATTTACGTTTCTTTTAATGTTTTTTTTTTTTTTGTTCGAATAAGATTTTCTTCTTGATTATAGTGTCTACAATAATCTTGTCGTCAATATTGTTTGTTTGTTTAGTTTATTCATGATCAAAAAAGTTTACAAGTTATTGACAAAGAGCGGCACACCAGGCCACTCTTTGATAAAAATATAGTTTTTAGATTTCAGATAAAGTCAAGACGCCAAAAGCAAAGAAATATTTAAAATTATTCAGGTTCTTTAAGTCCACCGCATTTTGGGTAGAATCATTCCATGGTTTGACAACACGGTTAGTGAGGAAGTTGTTTCATTTCTGTATAGTTTCGTACAAGTTGTGCTTTCAGTTGTTTTATCTGTCCAAGCGGAAACTATACTTTTAAGACTCAGTGTTTGGTTACAGCCGAAGGACTGAGAAGTTAAATTTGTCAATTTTGCTGATGATTTTGTATTGCTCAATAAGATCTCCTCTTTCTCGTTGTTCGGGGAACTTTGTCAAGTTAATTCTTGATAGTCTCTAAATATAAGACAAGTGTTTGAAGTTAGTAGTATGTTTTGTGACTCGGTTTTGAACTTGTTCGAGTTTAGCTATGCCTTGAGCTAAAAATGGTGGCTTGTGTTGCAAATTCTATATGTGGGCAAACGTATGAACGTATATACAGTGTGGGCCATAAGGCTAAACTTCAATCTTGAAAAACTTTCTTGAGCTTGCCATGCATTCGGTTGCCAGCTGATGCAGCCGCGAAGACTGTTTTTTTAACCTTCAGATTGTTAGTAATAATAACGCCTAGGTCTCGTTCAGATGTTGTGCATGACAGTTGTTGCAGTTGGAATGCCCAGTTGTTCATAGTATAAACTGTATAAAGTTAATTTTTTGGTATTGCTGCCCCTAGGTATATCATAAAACACAAGTCAATATTTTTATCATTAGGTTTTGGAACCCCTAATTTTGCGAGGACCCTTGTACGATGGCACATTTAGCTTTTATCTAAACTCGTCCTGTATTTAAAATCAAAATCTATTTTGATTTTAATGTGGATTAAAGGTTGGCTACTAAATGATTTTTTAACTGCCGTATTTGTTGATGGAAGCGGTAAAGTTTAACTAGCAGTATTCGACAGTGTTGGAGCCTCAAAAATAAAATACAGTAAAACTAGCTTTGAATCATACTTAACCTCTATCAATAATCTTATGGAAAATAATAAATTATTCTGAAAAAGAACTACTTATTGTAAATTTATTTAAATTAAATAATTGTTTTGGCGCATATCTTAAAGGCTTATATTTTAAAAGCATATTTTATTAGCATTTAGAGCTGACACACAGATTATCTTAAACGCAGTTTTCATTGTTTTATAAGATATTTTTTGTTTCGCTTTTTAGCATACTTGTCTATTTTTTTACATGCGTCATCATAAAAAATAATTTTAATACTTAGCGTAAGTTTATAATTTCATTTTTTTTTTTTTTAATAATTTTTGTTGTTATAAAAGATTACATTGAATTTAGTTAGTTCTTATTAAATATATTATTTATTTATATCAAGGTAAAAAGTGACAAAACAAATCACTGAGATAAAAAAAAGTAGCAGAAATGAAACGACATGAGTTTTCGCTTTCAGGCGCTCTAAATACATATATTTTACCGATTTCAGTAACAACAAGTCAAACATGTTTATTAAGTGAAAATATTGTGTTTGAAGCTGGGTTTGAATTTACAGTTTTGCAACGAAAAAATGTAAGGCTCCTATTTGGAACGGACTGGCACGGAAAAACATTTCGATTAAACACAGAAATGTTAAACGATCTTTACGTTGACATTGTAGATGAATTTTATCCAAAGAATTTAAAAGAAATCCAAGAAATCATTCCAAACATAAGTTACATTCTGTGTAAAACAACTAAAAGCATAGAATACTTTAGAATAAGTAAACTTGAAACATTTTCAGATCTTGAAAAAATAGTTTTGATAACTTGCGGGGGTCAAACTATTTATCAATCTCTAGATTCATTGCTAAATAAAGACCGCTTTGTATTTGTTCATTGTAAAAAAACCACAAGTTTTATAGAGCTTTTATCAAACAATATTGAAAATGGAACAGTAATAAGGTTTAATAATTGTTTTGATCGTCAAATTCCTACTGGGACCGTTGTTATAAATGGTGTCTACGCGCACGACTCTATCTTAATTGTAAGCAAGCTTTTAGGTAATCATAATAAGCTCCTTTATCAAATTTTCTTACTTGATTCAGGTATCAAGGTTTTTATTTCTGAGAAACCTTTACCATTAGAAGTTGTTGATTTTGGAAACTTTGATTCAACTACATATATTTCCAGAATAAAGGCAATTATGTTTTCCGTTTCTTATGACATTTATTCTCCTTTATTTTACGGACAACTTATTGTGGACATTTCATTTAGAAATGAGGCTAAAAAAGACGAAGAAGATACCAAGAGAGGAGCAAATAATAATAATGAAGAAGATACTGAGATAAGGGCGAAAAACATTAGTAATTTAAACGGTTTAGAAGAGAAAGTAGAAAACAATGTACAAAATGTTAGTCGTCCAACATCTCTCTTTTCGTCTTTAACAGCAAACAATTGCTTAACTAAACAGTCAATCAATAGTTCATTTTATAAAATTGAAGAAATTTCACCATTTGAAAATATTTTTGAACTTTCAGATAGCAAAAGTAATACAAAAAAATATAAATACAAACTGAGAGAACAAGCAATACAACAAAAAAATTCTAATGATGATTCTGGCATTGATTCACCTGATGCTAATGAAGTTTTTGAACAATTATTGGCTGACTTTACATGTAACGATAAAAGTTTTGAACAACAATGTCATAATTTAAATAAATATGAAAATGATCTAACAAAATCCAAAAGTGATGAAATAAAAGAATATTTGAAAATAAAGCATTCAAAAAGTGATACAAGTTTAAGTGATACGAGTTCAGATGAAAATGTAAACACTTCAAAACTACTTGAAGCAAGTTATACAACCTACAATGTGTATTGTAGTGTAGACTATTCTTCCGTTAAACCAAGACAATTTTCAAGTCTTAGTCAAAAAAAAGAGATAGAAAGTTTAGAGGAAATCAAAGCATGCTCTATTAAAGATATAGAAAAAAGGTTACAAAAATTACAACTGAGTAAATTTGTTAATAAATTTAGACAGCAGATGATTAATGGTAGACTTTTAGTTAATTTAACTGAAAGTGCACTTATAGAAATGGGTTTCTCGCACTTTGAAGCACGAAAGTTACACAACTACGTACACGGGTGGAGAGTAAACATACAAAATTGCTGTGAAAACCTAGAAGATGCGCCAGTAACAAATTGGTCAGTTTACGACGTAAAAAAAAGTATGAAAAAAATAAAGTTAGATCGCCTAGGAGCTTTTGCTATTAAAAACCAAGTTGACGGAAATTTGCTTGAAGATCTTATTAGAAATAACTATATCAAAACATTAAAAAAAGATTACGGCATAAAGTTATCAATTGTAGAAACTGAACGATTGCGTGGTTATGTATACAAGCAATTAAATTATAAAGATTAAAAAAACATGGTTTTTGAATAAAATCACGCGAAGCAAACTATTAAGATATAAATAGCATATAGTCAGTATAAATTCTTTAGTTTAATGTAGAAATATACGAGATATCAATCATATTTTTTTCAAGTTGGTGTTACTATTCTACAAACACCTTTAAAAAAAAAGTATATTTCATTTAATCGATTTAAGTCGCTATTATATATTAATCAAAAATTAATATATAATAGCGACAGCAATACTTAATCTTCTTTCGCGTTTTTCTTTGTTTTTAAATTTTGCAAAACATAATCTCATTCAAAACATGATACTTTGTGAAATAGAACTACAAATCACTTTAAATTTTCAGGAAATGTTTATTATTCAATTTATATGAGAGTGATATTAAAATATCACGGCATAAGAAAAAAAATTGTAGAAGCTGAATGATTGCGTGATTATCTATTCAAGTAAATAAATTATAAAGAATAAGAAACCATGATTTTTGAACAATAAAGATGAGAGGCAAATACATTAAGTTGTAAATAACATATATTTAGTATAAATTCTTGAATAAATTCATAAATGAGTAATAAAATCCGTATTTCCTGTGCACAGTTAATTCTTATTTATTTAAACCATAAAACTAAATTGTTTTGAATCTACTAACATGAGATTATTTTAAAAGACACTTTAGAATTTGTGTTGTTAGTTCGCTCATTCTGTTAATTACCAAGTAATCAGGTCTAAATTATGTATCCTTAAGGCTGCAGCAATATCAATTTTTGCTAGTAAGCAGGCAAAAAAAAAAAAAAAAAAAAATTAAATATTAATTTTAAAATCTGTGTCATTTAATTTAGATTAAATCCAGGTTTAAAAAAAAAATGGATGTAAGATAATAGTATTTGAAATAAAAAGACACTAACTAGTATAATTGTACATGCTTTAATTTTAAAAATATTTTTGCTTATAGGGGCGCCTAATACTACTAATACTACATCTACAATGTTCTGAGTTTCATGAATGCTCCCGGGTGCCCTGATTATCCACGAGCTTTTTCCTCTAACTAATAGTTGACATTGTTTAGAAGTTTTGTTTTTGAAAAGTACTATTTTTAAGATAGATTATTTATAACCTTCATTCAAAAGAATTGATTTAAAATGCATTACAAAAGGTAGCTCTTACAAAGAACAAGTTTTCAAAAATTTTAGTTTTATTTTGGTAATTTCATATAACAGTTTTGTATAATATAGCGGTTTTATTTTTATAACGGTTTTTTGATATAATTGATAAGGGGGAATCATTTTTCCCTCGAAGTATCGTAGTAATAAATTTTATATTTTTAACAAATAGATTTAAATCCATTAAAAAAAGATTTGTTTTAAAATATTTATACAATTAGGGTAACGAGGGGCAAAATGAGACACTTAGGCACTAATTTATCTAATACAGGCCGTCTAGGAACTCTGGAAAAAACAACTTGATATTTTTCAAATCTTCTATCATCCTATCCAGTGGGGACAAGAACGTTTTGCGAACGTTTTTTATTATTATGTATAATTTATTATTATGTATAATGTATTATTTACCAACTTGTTAAAAATACATTCATTTTTAAATATTTCGAAAAACATTTATCTGGTTTTATTTAGCATAAAATGTTGAATAAAAACAAATGAACTTAAACAATATATATATATATATATATATATATTGTTTAAGTTACAATAAAAACAAATGAATAAAAACAATATATATATATGTATATATATATATACATATATATATATATATATATATATATATATATATATATATATATATATATATATATATATATATATATATATATATATATATATATATATATATATATATATATATATATATATATATATATATATATATACATATATATTTACACAAACATTTATATAATTTTTCAAAAAGTTTGTATATATGTGAACTGAATTTTTTTATAAAACTGTTTCTTGGATTTTAGAACATAAAGACTTTAAAGTTTTGAAACAAATGTATTACATATCTCTATTTTAGTTTAGTCAAGATAAAGTTTTGTCAATATATATTATACTTACTTTTATAATTTATGTTGACAAAATAAAATACTAATAAATAATTTCTACCTAATATACAGTCATGTTCTTCATATAGTCATGTTCTTCTTATCATGCTTGTATAACCAATTAATATTACTACAGAATAAAATAGTAACAATCATTGGTTATAAAAAGTTTAGTTTTTATCTCAACCATACCAAATAATATGTATACATATTACTTAGTACGGTTGAGATAAAAAGATGACCAAGTTTCAGGTTGCTCCTAAAAAACATTTTTTTAAAATTTCAAAGTGTTATATAATAATTATAATAATTATTTTAGTGTTTTTTCAGTAAGTAATTTTCTTTTTTATACAAAATTTACAGTTAAAGAATATAGGTTATGGCATAAATATTTTACTCAAACTTACTGGCAAAATGTTAACAGCGATTCCAGACATTTTCGTAAAATTTTCAAAACTCATATAGTAAAAAGTTTACGGCCTAAAGATACGTTTGATTTTTTGAAAAACCGTTATACTTTGAGCGTTAAGTATAAAACCAATTGGATTTTTAAAAAACCGAAAACTGCGTTATCGTTTTTTGAAAAACCAACGGGTTTTTTAAAAAACCACTTTAAAACCGATTCATTTTACAGTGTATGCAATGAAACCAATAAATATTTATTATTTTTGAAAATTCTTGTCTAACTGTAGCTTTATTTATTTATCTATCATATATCTTTATATCTATCAATCTATTTTTTATAGAACCATGGCGAAGTACTGAAGACAAAAAGCCTAAAGAACAAAAAATGAGCCCACTTCGTCAAGGTACTTTTAACTCGCATAAAGGAACTCCAAGCAGACCTGTGACAAGAAATTTAACTGATTTCTGGATAATTGGTCAACATCAATTAATGGGGGCAAACTGCCTGATTGTAGGCAAATTATGAATACAAATTATTTCTAAGGAACGATCCAGAAATCATTAAAAATAAAGTGAAGAAAAAGGATATTGCTTATGTTGTGGTTGATGCAGTCCTTGCTCTTTGGAATATGGCACGCATAAAAACTAAATACAGACAGAATTGCATGTTTGATGTTATGAAACTTTGGAATGAATGGCAGAGTTTGATGAAAAATAAAGGAAGAAAAACTGACCCTGGTAGCAAGAGAGCAAGTTTTATTGAACAATTGGATTCTATTTTTAACATTGGTGCACCCGATGCCAAAGTTTAAATAAAGAAATCAAGATTTTTCTCAGAAAAAAAAACAACAAGATGATATCGACTTTTATTTGGACCAACAACATGAAAGAAGAGCATGTATGGATGGACATGATCAAATTTTTGAAACCAAAGCTAAAATGAAACTTGCAAGACAAGCACGTGAAGCAAGAATTACAGAAAGAGAACAGTGCAGGTTGGATATTTTAAGAGAAGAACAGGTCGAAGGAGTTCCTGCTTTACTAGAATTTGATTCTGATACACAATTAAATGAAGAAGATGACTGAATTGAAATTGATCCTGATTTTGAAAACAAGAAGCAATAAAAATAGTTCAATATCTCCCCTGGTTTGCAATAGTGGCACCCACTATTGCAAACCAGGGGAGATGCATCAAGCACGTTGGATGGCTAACAACATATATGCTGGAAAGATGTATATGATTTCCAAACAGATGCGGTATGATGATGAAATGCTTGCTAAACTCATGTATATGAATAAATTTTTGGTTCGTTTCTACACTCCTGCATGAATAAAAACACCATGGGCAGTGGATGCACCTATGAACGACCTCCAGTTTATTCACGAAATGATTGATTTTAGAAGTGTTGACAAAGATATTGGTGACATTGTGGTTAACAAACTCCGTAATCGTTAATGGTACTTGCCAGAAAAAGTTGTGTCATTTGGTTTATTTTAGCAAGCAACATTTGATGACACATGCACTAAAGAAAGAAATGGCGGATTGATTGCTTTTGACTCCAATACCATAAAACTTCCACCTTGGTAAATCAGTATTCAAAAAAATTAGTTGTGAAACAACTTTGACAAGTTTGATTAGGCCTGAACCTTGTTCGCTGTTCCACGTTTTCTTAATAGTGAGCACTGGTTGGCTTTCCTAACCAGTGGAGCAGTGGAATTCAGAATAGCTTTTAGAGTTGCAAAACAATTTATTTGTACAGTTAAAGTTAATCTCGGATTTTGCAACAATTATTATAACTAATATTTGGCAAAGCAAATGGTTTTTGCAGGGTGCCGAGTAGCATATAAAGTTATATCCCAGTTTTGATAAAAAGACACTAAACTTGTGAAACTTTAGTGTAGTACTAAGTACTTTATGAGTGTATTGAGTATAAGAGATTAAATACTTTTCAAGTAAACTACTAATTTTTTAAAGAAAGATTTTAAACTTTTTGTTATACTTGGTCACAAAATTGACTAAAATATTTTTCTAAAGTTGAAATGTTAAATGCAACATTATTTCTTTGTGTAGTCTTTATATTAAACATGATTTAAACCTTTATATTAAACATGATTTTGTTTAAATTGTTTAAATTTAAATATATATATATATATATATATATATATATATATATATATATATATATATATATATATATATATATATATATATATATCATATATCATATATATATATATATATATATATATATATATATATATATATATATATATATATATATATATATATATATATATATATATATATATATATATATATATATATAATATATATATATATAATAAAAATTAATAAACTTTTTCACGGCATTTGAACATATTACAGTGTTTCCATGAAAATTATTCAAACTTTCACTTAACTTGACACTTTACTTTTTCAGTATATGAGGTTTTAACATTCCTTTTGGCTTGTATTTTTCTTTTAAATAATGTTCAAAGCAGATTTTTTATCGCTAAAAATTTTGTGACTCTTTGCCTTGATTTTTAATAATCAATAAATTAACTGGTATTGTGGCTTCAACGTTTGTTGGAATAGACCTTACATATATTCTACTTGATTTACTAACCATATTTTATTATTATTGTTATGATCTGTTGGGGC